TGTGTGTGTGTGTGTGTGGGTGAGAGAGAGAGAGATGGAGAGAGAGAGAGAGAGAGAGAGAGAGAGAGAGAGAGAGAGAATATGAATGTATGAATGTGCATGTGTGTTCTGGAGATCTCCTCTGATCGCCAAATTAAATATTGTGTATGTATCATATTTCTGTTTGTCTGAAATGTTTCAAAATCCACCAGAAGAAACAAAAGCATAAAAGTATAAAGATGAGAACCTGAAACAGAGCTCCTTGAACTTCAGCAAGCATAAGGATCATCTTAACATGTTCAAAGCAGGTTATACTGCCACACTTGTGGGAGTTTTCTAATTCACTGGGTCTGGGATGGGGCCTGGGACACTACATTTTTGTCATGTAATTTCTGGGCAGGTGACTCATTAAACCACACCTTACAAAATCCAAGTATGGCATTTGCTGGCCAATATCATGATCTTGTGAAAAGTGGCAAAGCTACACAGGATCACTAAGATGGGGGCAGAGAGGCACCTGCAAAGGGCACCTTTGTAAGGTGCCAGCTGAAGAGAGAGGTGTGGAAAGGACTAGGAAATCCACTTTATTTCTTTTACCTTCCATTCTGCAAATTTGCATTTTTCTGTGATTTTTTTTTCCTCTGCAAGACTGGCTTAGCTAGGGCAGAGTTCTGAGCAGAAACCTGCATGTCCTCTAAATTCTCTGTCCCATCCAAGGCAACCCTGGCTGCACCTCAGGGGAGGGGTCTCATTAGATTGTAAATAAGCACAGCACAGTGCATACTCTCCCCAAGGGGTTTAGGCATTTAAGGCTTCAACAGATTACCCAGCCCACCCACCCCCATGCCTAGCAACCTTTCAGAAGGAACATCCTTTCCCTTAGTTTTTCATGACCTTTGCAAACCCCTACTAAAAAGCCTCTGATTTGGAATCAAATCACCTTTCTGATCTGGAACGTTGTGTGTGTGTGTGTGTGTGTGTGTGTGTGTGTGTGTGTGTGTGTTTGTTTGTTCTAGATGGGCAATTGGGGGAGAGTCCCAGGTGGAGGGAAGGGAGTTGGGTGAGAAGGGCAGAGGGCAGGCCTGGCAAGCAGAACTAAGTTGCTGCTGTGAACCCGCTAAGTCCAAGTGCATATGTTCCTCTGTGATCACTGACACTCAAGCTTTCCTAGTGGACAGGGCGCAACAGATGAGGCTCCACAGAACCTTCCAGAAACAAACTGCTCAGAGGAAAGGAGTGACTGGGCCAGGAGTTCAGCCACTGCACCTCCCTCTCAGTTCAGGCTCAGTTTTTGTATTTTTTTCTTCTAAATGCCAACCCCTACCCCACCCTGGCACTGTGACACCGAAAATTGCCAGGATACACTTCAAGTTTGAGGTTTTAGGAATGAGAGTCAATGATGGTCTTGTTCTGATTTCCTATTATCATAAAAGAGGTCAAAGTCACAGAACTTCTCCGATCCTTGTTTTCTCCACTTGAAGGGGCCCGTGCTGCCTGCCAGGGTATCAGGGTAGAGAGGTGGGGAGAAGAGTAACACACCCCGTGGCGTTCAGGAGAGAGGCGCTCAAGAACACGCTGAAAACGCTCCTGACATGGGTTTTGGATGGCTGTGATTTAGTGAAAGTGGTAAAATAATCCTCTTTAATACAGTTAGTACAAAAGAGTTAATTATTGTCCCCAAGGCAATAATTTAGAAAGGGGTTCCATTGTATGAGGCATGCTAACCCAACCTCTTAATCCAAAGTGAGTCTAACAAAATTAAAACCAGAACACAAAACTTTCCATTACAAATCACCTTCCACCAAGGTTAAGGTCAGATCATTTAGTGGCTCAACTAGGCTAATGAGACCAAACAAAATGCAAGTGAACAGAAGCTCATTTCGCTGAGCACTTGTGGCTTCAGCAACTTTGGGTCTTTAGCAGAGGCCAGCTCTGCGCTGTTTCCCTGCCTGGATTTAGTAAACCTGGAGAGGGCTGGGGCCTGGAGGGACCCCTCAGGGATATGAGCATTTATACCATTTCTATGGGGAGAAAGAATCCACGGGGCAACCAGGAGGGAGAGCTGTGGACGACTCTGTCAGAGACCAGGAGACACAAAGCTACTGCTGAATTTTACATCAGTATTTACACATGGTTAGAGTACAGTAGCTGTTTTATCCATATATGGGATGTGGAATAAAGCTACTGTAATTGTTAAGGAGAATAGCTCTCTAACAAAAATCCTCCTTACAGAACTGTGGACAGTGATAGGCGGCTAGGAAGGCAAGCATCTTCAGCAAATGTGTTGTCACTTGGTTGCAAGTTATCTTAACAACCAATGCTTGCGTTGCATTTTTTAAAATTTGATGATCATTCCTATGATATCATCACTTGAGATTATTTGTTGGTAAGAGACAACTCCAGAAAGTCTGAGTAGACAGCTGAGGAATAGCAGTTAGCAGTTAGCAGGAAGGGAGTTCTGAAGTGGGTCTTGAACCTATGTCACTGACAAGCAATGCACTGCTCCTAACTTCAATACACATGCTCCTTCAGGACAATCTGCAAACACGTGGAAGGGGGAGAAAGGCTGATGGAGACTTAGTTCCTCTAACCCCGAGCTGCTGTTGGCAGTGACAATAACCTTCACGATCAAGAGCTGGGATTTGAGGCGTGTAGGCCCAAGTCTGAAATCTGGCTCTGCCGCATGGTAGGTCTACAAACTCAAATAGATTATTTAAACTCTTGGGACCCCACTGTCCTTTGAAAGTAGGGTTTCCAATTGGCCTGCTTCACAGGGTTTTTTTGAGGACTGAGTTTGCACACATAAAGAGCCTGTCTAGCATAAAGCCTGGAGCACAGTAAGAATTAAACATTTTTAAATGAAAAGAGGGAGGTGGAGTTGGCAACCTGGGAACCTTGCGAAACTTTGTTTAAACCCAAAGAAGGTAGAGTGTCTCTTCAAAGTTCCTCTGTCATGAGTTCCAGAGAGACAGAAGGAGAGTCACTGATAGAACAGGATTCTTCAGGAGCCCAGCGATCTCCTGGGGTCCCCTAAACAGTGTGTCCTCCACTGGACCACAGCAGCTTAAAAACACTTCAGTCAGTACATTCTGCACTCAATTTGGTTCAATGGGCAAGGGGCAGGTGAGAGGCATGGGATATTGCCTGGCCTTAATACTCTTGGCCTAGAACTTGTAATTCACTTGAACAAGGCCATTCATATAAAAGAGCTACAGTCATTTTAAAGTAAACTCTTTCTCTAGGAACTTAAACAAGTCCTTTACCTCTGCGGGGACATTGACAAACCTACTATAAAAGGCATTCATGGCACCGTTATTACTCAACACGACTGAGGAGCTGTCATGGACTCATCAGACTTAGCGCACCCTTAGATCCTGCAATGGGGAAAAGCATTAACGTTCCTTGGAGCTGTTTCCTAGTGTACTTTCCTTATCATTATTTATACTCTTTCCCTCTATACCAGTGGTTCTCAACCTTCTGGCCCTTTAAATACAGTTCCTCATGTTGTGACCCAACCATAAAATTATTTTTGTTGCTACTTCATAACTGTAATGTTGCTACTGTTATGAATCGTAATGTAAATATCTGATATGAAGGATGGTCTTAGGTGACCCCTGTGAAAGGGTCGTTCGACCGCCAAAGGGGTTGTGACCCACAGGTTGAGAACCGCTGCTCTATACCATCTTCTCCCTAACAACAAATCATCCCCAGACCAGAGAACACACTTTTTAAAAAGGAGCAAAAAGATTAAATAAAAGAGAGAGAGAACTCATGGACAACAGTGTGGCAATTGTGGGGGGAAGGGGTGTGGGTGAAGGTGGAGAAGGGAATAGGGGGGATAAATGATGATGAAAGCACAAAATAAAAACATATTTAAAAGAGAGCAAAACTCTAAAAGGATATTAATAGTGAGGTATAATGTAGAAGAATAATCAAACGGGGAGAAATTCCTTTACTGATGCTAATTATCAATGCATTAGATTGAGCCATGCATGTGTTTTCAAACATTTCTGACCAAAAAAAAAAAGAAATCCATATTCAATCAAATAGCTTAGCAAGTTGCTCAGGCCAAGCCCCCAGACATAGGGATTGTATCTCGGGTGCTCAGGTACCTCAATGAGGCCCAGGAAGTGCAATGAAAAAATCTGAAGCAAAGCGGAGTCCAAGATTATTCAGATTCCACTCCCTGATTTCCTTCTTACTTCCTCCCCACTTGGCTCTCTTATTCTCCTTTCCCCTCCTGCTACAATGTAACTAACTAGTAAGCTTCCTCTAGATATGAAATTTTAGATCATATTTTAAAAGGGCACAATATTTAAATGATGTCATAAATCAACAACAGTAATAACATACAAGTTACATGTAAGTACAGGACGGCGCTGTCAGACCCGAGACTGTTGTCCACCCGCACGGTCACTCGGAAAATGCCCACATTGTGATAGACGTGTTTGATGCCATCTTCCATGGAGCTGAGGTTGACATACGACACTGCGATGCCATCACCGAAGTCCACTTGGATGAATGTCCTCTGAACGTCGCCCTAAAAAACAGCCCAACATCAGAAGAAATGGAGTCTGTATGAGGGTGCTTAGCTCAGGGGCTGGGGCTTGTCCTGGTTGCTGGCTCAGGAACAATGGCAACCCTGGCTCCCTCCAGGAGCTGGGAGGATATGTCTGTGGGTGACAGAATCCCTGTGACAATCTTCAATAGCCTAGTGGCTCAACTAGGCTAATGAGACCAAAAAAAACAAAACAACAACAAACAAAAACAAAAAACAAGTGAACAGAGAAGCTCATTTCGTTTAGCACCTGTGGCTTCAGGCGTTTACTAAGATGGATGTTTTCCAAATCTGAAGGGCACTGACTCTACCAAAAGTTTCCAGGTTTGAAAACTTAAGTGTCTGATCATCAACTCCAATTTGATAACCAATTCCTCTGAAGGCTTTGCTTATAGGCTTACCTGCCAGCGACCAATTCCAGCATGTCATAATTTCAAGAGTTTCATCAAAAGGTTGATGAGACTTGGGGACTCAACAGGGTTGAGTCACACATGTAGTCACCTGTTGGGAATGGCTAAAGGCATTTTCCCAAACCTGAATAGGAAACTGATTGTGGCTGCCAGACAGCTAAACGGCATCTTAATCTACATGTTATTGCCTCCTACTGGCCAAACACCTGAACAGCCGTAGGCTAATTCCCCCATTCTGACAATGGACTCTGTACCAAACCCTGACCCTTTGAAGTGTGTATCTCTGCCTCGCCTCAGGACAAGTTGTATTAATAAAAAGCATGGGATCCTGGGGATGGAGAGAACCTAAGACCTTAGACTTAAGATCTTGGATCTTGGCTCCTTTAGCTAAGCTCCTCTGACCCTCAAAAGCCTTTCAAAATTATATTTCGTCTCCGGATTCTTTATTAGTCTCTGGATTCCTATGTCATCTACGCATAGCCCCTTCTCCAGATTCCTGAACCCTTCTTGATGCTGGGACAAGAACTCCGGCACTTACCATCCATGAGAATAAAAAAGGTGTGCACAGTTTTAAATATGCCGCCTACCTGACACCGTCACAGAACACTTCCCATGTGCTTGGACCCCTGAGTCCCCTGCTTTGTTTCTGGTTCCCTGACCATGCTGGAAACAGGATAGGAGACACCTTGCCTTACACCTGATATGACATTAGG